AGCTTCCCAGCTACTGATATTATTCAGAAGCATCCTGCACGCCTTGCTCTGGTGTGCGCCTTTTTGTACACATTACTGGGCTGGAGAACTGTATAGCAAAATATGGAGAAGTCCAAATGTCAAAGGATAGTTGGTGTGCTGTTTTCAAGATTGCAAATTGTGCAAGTTCATGCTTAAAGGCAGGCTTGACTCTCCCTATGCCCCCCGCCACCATATGGGGCTCAGGCAAATGTGCTTGATCCGCAGCAGGGATCGGGTGTGCAGTACGAAAACAATCACTGCTATCAGGAGGCAGGAAACACAGTTGAAAAAGGAAGAAAAATGGCATCAAAGTCCATTTGTTAGGGAGAAAATAAACAGGAAAGGGGCAGATAAACTATTGTCCAAGAGAAAATAAGAGGCGGCAACAGCAGCAGCAGGAGGAGAGGCAGCTCCTGAGGGACCTCAAGTCACCCAAATTGCAAGCTTTTCCTCCAAACCCAGAAGAGTTTGCATGGCCCAGAACAATTATTTATTCATTATACTTATTTACTGCATTTATATCCAACCTTTTTTGCTCCTAGGAGCTCAAGGTGGTGTTAGCACATCTTGCACCTTGAGTGAATTAGACTGGAATAATCACTTACAGTTTCTAGAGTTCTAAGGCCTTGTTTATGCAGGAACTATTTACAGGATGAGTAGAGATGAAAAGAAAGAAGACATCTTGTCTGGAGACAAGAACAAGGAGGATGCCTCAGCTTTTAGGGGTGGAGTTAGACAGAGAGGCTACAAGCAAGTGCTGGCTAGATTGCTCCACAAGCAGTGCCCTCATGTAGTTTAAAGTAGTACAGTACATGCATTTACTACAAACTCAAACTTTGAACCCCAACAACGACCCTGTGAAGTAGGTCAGGTTGAGAGGCAGTGGGTGGCCCAAGGGCACCCAGTGAGCTTCATAGCCAAGTGGGGATTTGAGCTTCCAGGTCTTTGTCCAACACTAGCTGCTATACAACAAGAGTGCTTCCAGAGGAGTGCATCTTATTGTGGCAGGAATGTCAGGAGAGCCCCTGAACGCAATGCAGCTGGCTTACCACACTGTGAAGGACATGATTTAATAAACGCTGCTAGTTAAAGAAAGGACCCCATAAGTCCATTTAGCCTGGGGTCTAAAATTATCCAAGGGTATTGCTATTGAAAGCTACTTTGCACCAGGCAAAGTTGTTCACTTATCTAGTCCAATGCACAGGGATGCTTAATCAAGCCCATTTGTTTATCTGGCTCAGTATTGCCTACACTGGCAGAGGCTTTCCAGGGTTTCAGGCAGGGGACATTTCTGGTCCCACCAGGAGATGTCTTGGAATAATAATAATAATCACCATCATAATCATAATAATATCATTTTCATTTCTATATAGCTTTATATTTTTAAAGGAAAAAAATCAAAGTGGGTTACAACAAATTAAAACATCAAATAAAATAATCCATAATAAAATATTGCTGAAGAAAGTCAAGTATAAAGTATATATTCAAAGCAACATAATTAACAGGAGACTAAAATATTATCTTAACATTTCAGAATAAGACATTCCTAAAGGAAGTCAAATATAAAATGCACATTTAAAACTTCATAATTAACAAAATATCATAAGCATAGAACATACAAACCTGGGACCTTCTGCACACAAGGCAGATGCTCTGATACTTAATTATGGCCCTTCCTACAAACAAAGTAAGATTCTAGTCCTCATAGTTCTGAATAAAGGGCTGAATTAAATAGGAATTTAGGTCCATATAGCCTTCTGCTGCTACCAGTCATTGTTCTTTAGTGATTTGTTAAGTCTTTTTAAAGACTATGTCATTTTATGTATTTTTATTAATCTACTTGCCTGTTGCAAATGCCCTGTGGCCTTTGCAAATGAATGAATGAATGAATGAATGAATGAATGCTATGGTTGGACTGTTGGGAGTTAGGAAGTGAGAAATGGAAGAAGTGTCCTTATTTATTTATTTTAATTTCTAAACTGCCCTTCATCCGAGAATCACAGGGTAGTTTATAACATAAAAGCACAAAATTTCATAACAAACAAAAGCAATATCCCTTCCCATGCACAGTTTAAAGGGCAATTGATTGTTTAATTAGCCAAAGGCCAGAGAGAAGAGGAATGTTTTTGCCTGGTGCCTAAGGATATGTAGTGAAGGCACCAGGTGAGCCTCCCTGGGGAGAGCATCCCATAAAAAGGCCGCTCTCATGTTGCCATCCTCCAGACCTCTTGTGGAGGGGGCACACAAGGAAGGGACTCTGATGGTGATCACAGTGTGAAATTTTAGGGGAAAAAATACACTGGATTGGGTGTCCTCTGAGTCTCCAAAATCAGCTCTGAGTCTGCAAGAGGACCAGGGGGTTGCAATCATAGAACTGAAAGGCACCCAAAAGGCCGCCTAGTCTAACTCCCCTGCAATGCAGGAACCACAGTTAATGGCCGGGCTGTATCCACTTTGAGCAGGTGGGCAGCTGGGGAACAGAAAGTGCCCTGGTTCTGGCACCATTCAGGGTCCCTGGAGTGACTTTAGCCACCAATAGACTCTTGCAGTGTTCTTCAACCTTTGGTCTTCAGCTGGACTACAATTCCCATTATCCCTGGCCATGGGCTAATCCGTATGGGGGTGATAAGCATAGTAATTCAACAATATCTGGGGGCCCACAACTGAAGGACAGTAGACTGTTGCCTGGGTGCCTTTCGCAGAAGCATTTGATAAAGTGGCTGATGGTATCCTATTGAATGTGGGCAGTCTCTGAGTTGGATAAACTGGGATCATGGTAAGCAGGGCAGGCTAGTAGCTCTCAGCACCCTACTGCTGGGACAGGAGCAGGACTTGGGGATTATTTTTATGAGAAAGACACACACGGGGGGGGGGGGGGTTGGAGAGAGAGAGAAGCAGAAGAAAGCAATAAATGCAGCCTCAGCAAGGATTAAAGGAGCCTGTCCGAGTTGTTGAACTTGGGCACCGCGTTCCCAAAGATTATTGTGTTCAAAAGGCATTCCTAACATAGTTTATTCCCAGTCATCTGTTGCAATCCATGGCTGCTCTACAAACTGGAGCATTTGCTCCAACTTCACCCCCACCCCACCCCCCCTGTCCCATCTCATAAGTGTAACCCTAGCAGCTCAGGATCATTACATGGGGATGGAGGGGGCTTGAAAGAGAGCAAAGATTTTGCGCGGGTGCCTGCTTTTACGCACTGCTAGACATCTTCTCTCCGTGCTTCTCTCCCCCCCCCCCCCCAATTATCTGACATGAATTCAATGCAAGGCAGAAATCTGGAAGAATCCAAAGCAGGCAAGCTCATTTCGTTTGGTGTCTGTGTCTACTAAGCACAGCTCATTTGCACAATGCACGGGACCACATAAGAATGTCAGGATTACTTTGCTAGATCTTATAAAAAGGTTACTGCCTTCCACCAAATCAGAATACTGGCCCATCAATCTCAGTATCTTCAGCACTGACTGGCAGCAACAGCTCTCCGGGGTTTCAGGTAGGGAGCATTCCGAGCCCTGCCGGGAGATGCTGTTGTGGATCAAAAGGAGATCCAATTCAACATTAGGAAGAGTCGTTTGACAGTGGGAGAGACTCCCTGAGTAGCTGGTGGACTGTCCTTCATTGGATGTTTTTAAATAGAGGTTAGGGGACAACTGTCAGGGATTCTTTAGCTGCAATTCTTGCATTGCAGGGGGTTGGACTAGATGACCCTTGGGGTCCCTACAGTTCTATGGCTCTGGGAACCTGGGACCTTCTGCATGCATGACAGGTGCTCTGCCACTACCTTGTGGTCCTTTCAAGTCTAGATGGACTGTTGGAGGTCCATCTCTCTCTCCCCCCCCATACATAATGCTCATTGCATGGATAAATGACGAATCAGGTGACAGCATTAAGGAGGCTGCAGCTTCAGCACTGAGACAGCAAATCCTTCCTTTGACCTTGGACCAGAGGTGCTAAACCTGAGCTGCCCACTTCCCAGCTTCCAGTTCCCATTTAACTCAGCAGCTGTTTTGCTTTGCAGTGGAAGATTGCAAAAGGAGTATATTGGAAAAATGAGAGCCCCCCCCCCATTTACTAAGGCTGTTTAACTAAGCCTGGTTGAGGGACGTGGCCCCCTGCTTTGCGCTGATGACCTCCAGATCGTACATGTGGCTTTCAGGTCCCCATTTGGAATGTGCCCCAGCTGCTCTTTAGAATTGCCCTCTGTGCTTGGGAATGCCTTTCCATAACAGGAAGAGGAACCCTCAGTGGTGTAAGGATAGCTACAGCAGGAGGAGCAGGTTTCCTGGCTAACTTTGTTTCAGAATCCTACCATAGTGAAGGGCAATGAGGGTCAGTGGCATGGTGGGGGGAGGGCACAGGGGCCGCGGCAACAGGCGCAAATTTCTGAGGGGTGTAACCAGGCACCCCCATGACAGGCTCCATCATCAAGGCTGGAGCTGTGGGGAGGTAAGCTGCACCCAGGTTCTGTTTGCAGGCTTCCCACTGGGGCATCTGGTTGGCTACTGTGGCAGGATGTTGGACTATGTGGGCTATTGGCCTCATTCTGCAGACTTCTCTCATATATATATATATAACACAGAGTGTAAAATTATAGGTACTAGCATAGCTGTCAATGTTTCCCTTTTTTTTAAGGGAAATTCCCTTATTCCGAATAGGATTCCTCTCAAGAAAAGGGAAAAGTTGACAGCTATGGGTACTAGTATTCATAAGGATATTCATGGGGTAAATATTTAATGCACAATTAAGCATGTATGTATTATGTCTTATATATAGGATAATGTATATATTATTTAATGGGGTAAGTCAGTTAATTGTACTATATACATAATAGTATTAAGATCATCATCCTTGTTCTTGGGATTCCGCCATTTTGCGCAGGGGCCCTTTGATGCCTCATAAGCAGCGTTTCAAGCTCAGCCGGGGGGGGGGGGATGCAGGAGAGAGAGAGAGAAGAGAGAGTTGCAGAAAAAGTCCCTTTTGTCCTTCCCCACAAAGGGGCTTTGAGCTGTGTTATCTGTTGGGCAGCAGCTCAGCGAATGGCCAGGAGGCCTCTGGATGCCAGCAGAGGAGGAATAGTGAGACCGGGCCAAGGCGGGGCTCCCTCCTCCTTCCAGGCACATAAGAAAGGAGCCGGTCCATCAGATAAAGTCCCTCTGGAAGAGACAAGGATCTCTCTCTTGCAGGCATTCCGGCTGTTCCGGATTGAGAACTTCATGCAAAACCAAAGCCTGCAGGGAGCTTTAGAAACCAGCCAGGCTGCCGAAAAGGGTCCCTGGGGCCTGGTTTTCGCAACAGGGCTCGAAGACACCCCCCCAAGCAAGCTGTCAACGTGCGGTATGGTGAACACGGCCTTTGTCTTACAGGAGCGACACCATCACACTGGCTGGCAGAATCCAAAGGGCACTGAAAAGAGGCCACAAATTCTGCAGCAAGGGATCCTGCAAACTGCTGAAATTTTGCAAACTCAGCACATTTGCCAGTATGGTTGTCGTTCTTGTTATTTATTGCATTTCTATCCTGCCTTTTTCTCCAAGGAGCTCAAAGTGGCATACATGGCTCTCGTTTAATCCCCCAAATAACCCTGCGAGGTAGGTTACACTGGGAGGCAGCAGCTGGCTGCAAGGTCACCCAGGGAGCTTCATGGCTGATTGGGGATTTGAACCCTGGTCTCCCAGCTCCTAGTCCCAACACTAACCACTGTGTCACCACTGGCTGATGGCACTCAGCTTTATGTGCTTCTTGTGTTGGAAGGAGGGGGGTTGTGGAGACCACTTGAGACAGCCACAGGAACTCTCTCCCCCCCCCTGCCATGCCTCTGCTATTCTCAACCTGTATTTGCATCTAGATCAGAAAGAAGAGCCCTGCAGCTGAATCAGTCAAGGGAGGCCCACCTAGACCAGTCTGCTGTTCTCACAGTGCCCACCAAGTGCCCCTAAGGGAAGTCAATGCAGGATATGACTCCTGACAGCAACTCTCCCCTCCAGAGAGTCTAGCAACTGGTATTCAGAAGCATTACTGGTTGAGGCTGAACATAAAGAAGAACCTAGGAATAGGGGGCATCTAGTTCCCACAGTGGCCTAACTACTGTGCCCAAACTACTGGGCCAGAGCAATGTGATGCAGCCCCACCAAACCTCCATCAAAGTCCCTTGGTTGTTGCTGTTTTCAAGTTTGCTCAGTTTTGACTTGCAAAAGGGAAAGGTCCCCCTATACCTTACATAAATCGATACTATGACCTGCTTTTTGTGAAAAGCCAGTTAATTTTCTGGTTCAGAGCTCAGGGCAGCTGGGAAAAGGCCTTGCGGAGAGAAGCCGCGTTGGACCTGAGCTCCTGTGCTCTGGGCAGTTTGAAAACTGTGGGCGTTCCTCCACCCCCACCCCAAATTCCTCTCTCCAACGTTTCCAATCCAGACCGCTTGAGGGTGGGGGAGGCGGGTGCTGTGGAATGACTTCCTGGTTCCCAGACTTCACATGCCAGCAGTGGCCTTTATTTATGGCCCTGGAGGCTTCCCTCTTGAGCATAAATCAGGAAGGGGGAGGGGGAAGGTCAGCCTAGTTCCTGAGCATTGATGCAAAGGGCTTTCCCTATACTCCGGGAAGCTGGACCTGTGTTTGTGTGTGAGCATGGGAAGAGTTAAAGAGGGAGCCTCTGGCCTCTGCCCAGTTCCCTCCCTCCCACATCACAATTGAACCAGGAAATAAACAAAATTGATGCATATTTGTTTCATTTCACAGCTGGAAGATAGAAGGATTTCCTCTTTGATTTCCTGCTTCCAGAGGAGAGGCGATGGGCAATACAGACGAAGCTGCCCTGTTACGGAGACAGATCATTGGTCCACCAAGCTCTATATTGTAAACTCTGGCTGGCAGCAGCAGCAGCACTCCAGGTTTTATGGCGGGGAACATTCCCAGGCCTGCATTGACTGAACCTAGGACTTTTTGCTTGCTAGCTTCCCCAGCCCCTGACTGAGAACCACAAGGACAGGAATCTTCACTTTATTTTTTAAGGGAAAAGTACCATGCATGGTTCCATGCAGTGAAGGAACAAAGCAGGGTATAGATGTAAGAGAATAATGAATAAAAATGCAGACAGCAGCTTAATTCTCAGTTTGGGAATCTCTCCCTCTCCCCATCACACCTCCCCACACCCTGCTATGGCAAAAATACCCAAGATTTTTGGCTGACTCTCTTAGAGCAACTTTCACACCTCCCAGAGAGTCCCAGCCAGGCCTCAACGCCTCTGCAGCTTGTAAGGGTGTGAAATAGCACTGGGTACTAGCCTATCAGATTGTGCTGGGCCTGGGATGCCAGGAAGCCAGCAGCCCTTGACACCTAAGTGAGAGAAGCAGAGAACTCCCTTTGACACCAGTGGCTACTTTTAAGATGAAAGCACCACGGAGGTCCCTGGCAGAGTCTGCAGAAATGAGGATCCCAGCTGAGGGGATGGTGCTTGGACCTAAAAGCCAGCCAGGTGTCTCTTTTTGTGGGGGCCTCATTCTGAAAGGCTCTGGGGTCTCAGCTCTGCCTGGGCATCTGACCCTGCCAGGGCCCAGGAGAGAGGGGGTAGGGGGTACATCATGCCCCAGTCAGGAATCAAAAAGGGGGTCTGGGAGTCAAAACAGGAGACCCAGAAATTTCCTGGGACCTCAGAAAGCATTTGCATATATTGTATGAAGCATATATTGTATTATTTACATTTTGTGTAAGCCTACATAAAATGCCGAGGGACGCGGATGGCGCTGTGGGTTAAACCACAGAGCCTAGGACTTGCTGATCAGAAGGTCGGCGGTTCGAATCCCTGCGACGGGGTGAGCTCCTGCTGCTCAGTCCCTGCTCCTGCCAACCTAGCAGTTCGAAAGCATGTCAAAGTGCAAGTAGATAAATAGGTACCGCTCTGGCGGGAAGGTAAATGGAATTTCCGTGCGCTGCTCTGGTTCACCAGAAGCGGCTTAGTCATGCTGGCCACATGACCCGGAAGCTGTACGCCGGCTCCCTCGGCTAATAAAGCGAGATGAGCGCCACAGCCCCAGAGTCGGCCACGACTGGACCTAATGGTCAGGGGTCCCTTTACCTTTACCTTTTACATAAAATACCACGACACTTCTCCCCCCTGCCTGCTTCCTCATCTGCCAGTTCCCCCCTCCTCCCCGTCTACTTTTCCTGGGCAATCCAGAGAGGCAGCGCTGAAATCCCAGCAAACAATATTGCAAGTGGGCAAGTTGAGAAGGTGGGCTTGCTTTGCCTCTCCTGCGGGAGATGCACTCTGCCTACTGAGGGGACCACTGTCTGCTGGACCGGTGAAAGGCAGAGGGCGTTGGCACTGATGTCCGCCTTGAAGCAGAGGAGGGTGAAGCGTCTCATGGCCATTTCTGGGTAAAATTATCTTTTCCAAACAACTCACCTAAGAATCAGGAAAGAGTTCATATTTGCTTTGATTCAAATTACATTTGTAGAAGTATAATAAAAGTAATTAAAAGTAATAAAAGTAAAAACACAAAAAAATTCTACCAACGCCCCCACCCATTCCCCCCCCCAATAGTGTTTTGCTTTATTAATACCATGAATAGAAGACTGGGTCATTATTCATCTCTCTGAATTTTTATTTGGGCTTTTTCTGGAAAAAGGTGTTAATTTGGAATTATTGGTTAACCTGAGAAACAGTGTTGCTCAGATAGAACGAACAAGGAATTGTAAAGTCGTTGAACACAACTCAAATTATTTTGGCCAACTTGCAACAAGCTGCAAAAATTTCAGGGACGCTCCTGCTGCATTGTTGTTTTGATCAAGCAAGCACAGCTAGGTGCTGCAGTTTTAACTTATATTTATAATATTGCTTACAACACGTCAACACGCACGGAGGTACAGAACGTAACCCCCATGCAAAACAAAGATTGCCTGTATATATCTTTTTGTCGCATTCCCTTTCCCCCCTTTCTTCAGATATAAAAATATTAATTTATAAATCATCTCTCCAAAATGTATTCTCACAAATCATGCACCCAGAAGAGAAAAGATAGGAAGAATGAAAAAGGGGCCAACAAACACTTAACCCAACAAACTGGATTAAGTGCAGCTTAAAAAAAAAACCCTTTTCATTGAACTCATCTATAGAATTGGAGCAATAAGACACTGTTGAAAACCTCATCCCCAAACAAGGAACAGTTTATTTGGGTAATCATGCAAAGTATTCTGATGAAGGGGAAGATGCAGAAAATGGAAATGGAAAACAGAAGTAAACAGGCATACAGATGCATGTGGAGGTGAATTTGAAAGATGAAAGGGCTAATCATAATGCAGGCCTTGACATTGGATGCGCCATAACTGAGTTTCCATCTCAAAAGGAAATAGAAAACTATATTACATCTGGGACAGGAATTGACATCATCTTAGACTTGCCAATAAAAGCTGAAGCTGTAAAATGGCACATGCTTTTAAAGCACATCATCAATGTTGCACTCTTATTAGGAGAACGGGGCCTAGTATTTTCTGGTTCATCCCATCGAATTGGTAATCCAAGCAATGGAAACTTTTTAGGACTTATTGAACTGTCCTCCAGGTGGGACTTCAGGAACACGTGCTAAGTGTAGAAGAGTCCACAGAAAAGGATTGAGTGGTTTCAAGGTCATTATCTGACCTCTGACTCACAAAATGAATTTATTACAGAATGCTCAAATCTTGTGGAAAAAAACACATTTTGCTTGAGAGGCAATCTGCAAAGTACTTTGCAATAATAGTAGATTCCACACCAGATTCTTCCCATATGGAACAAACAGCATTTCATCTGAGATACCTACTTTTAAAATAAATGCAGTATTAGATTCAAGAACAATTTCTCAGCTTTGCAGACTGTGGCAATGAAAAAGGGGAAGAAATTGCTCAGTTGGTAACTGACACATTGAAAGAACATGCTATTCCTTCTCAATGACTGCAGAGCTCAAGCCTACAATAATGGAACAAATATGGCTGGAAAATACAATGGCTCACAAGCAAAAATACAAGAACAATGCTGAACAGAACAATGCTCATACAGAAAGTATATGTTTTACATTTTGGTATACAATGTTATAGCCATCAGCTTCAGTGGTGTTAAGCAGTTGGCAGAAAAAAATGATTTCTTGTGGAAATATCTCACCATGCCTAAAAGTGATGTAAAGAGAAAAGTTTATCTTAGAGCAGTATCCTGCTGACCTTAGTGGTGGTGATTATGGAAAATAAATGCAACATTCACCCTCAGCAAATAAAGCAAATTTTGTAATTGCACAGTTAAAGCCGTTAGATCTGTTGCACTGGTTAACAGAGTACAGACTTGGTGATCTGTTTCCAAATGTCTGTGCTAACTTAAGAATACTATGAACAATTCCAGCAACAGTAGCTTCTGCAGCGGGGTCATTTAGCAAACTTCGGTTAATTAAGAATTACTTAAGGTCTACAATGCCTCAAGGACGTCTTGTGGATTTGGCCAGGCTAAGTATTGAATCAAACATTGCCAAGAACAATTAATTTTCGTGCTGTGATTTGAATTTTTCCCCAATAAAGGCCTAAAAAGCTTCTTTTTTAAAAAGTAAATAATAGGTTTTTCTACTTTTTCTTTTTACTAATACTTTTTACTAATACTTTTGATTATTTGATCTGCATTGCAATATAAAAGGATGATTCAACGTGAATTATTTTTCCTTATCTGTGTTGTGGCATAAACAAAGATATTCATTTCAAATGTGGTTTCTTATCTCTGACCTTACTTTATTTATGTTTATCTATTGTTATCATGGAGTGTGCATAAGAGCGTAAGGCCTTCAATTCAGAAAAGTTAACAGAGAGCTCCGCTGCGACCTTCTCTCTTCTCCTGTACCCTTTTTGACCTTACATGCTGCAGCTCATGGCATAAAACCCTAGTGGATAAAAACAGGAAGACTACTGGAGAAGGGAAGAGGCTCAAAATAAACTTTGTACACCCCCTCCTCCTGATAATACTCTTCTCAGAGGCCCTGGCCCCAGGAACCCTGGCCGACCATCACCATGGGAGCCAGTGTGGTGTAGATATGGGACCTGGCAGAGCAGGGTTCAAATCCCTCCCTCCCCCCTGCCACCACCACCACCCAGTCAGCCATGGAGCTTACTGGGTGAGCTCACTCTCAGCCTAACCTATCACACTGGGTAGTTGTGAGGATGAAATGGGGGTGGGGGAGAGGAGAAATATGTATGTCACCTTGAGCTCCCTGAAGGAAAAAGTGTGATATAAATAAAATAACATAAACAAGAACTTATCTGAAGTGTCTCTAGATGCTGAGTGAACAAGTAAATAGAATGTACCCGTGTATAAGACTAGGTTCCCCCCCTAAAAAATAATGTCCAAAATTAGGGGGTGTCTTATACATGGATAGTGCCGAGGGTGGATTTTCTTAAATCTGGGTCCCCCAAAATATTGGGCGTCTTATACATGGGTGTGTCTTATAGATGAAAAAATACGGTATATCCCACTCCCTTCTGCTATTGGAAGTTTTGTGCAGGGGGCCATGCAGGTGTCTGGTCTGATCCAACTAAGGCCTCCTTTCATTCTGTCCATGGAGAGAACCTAAGAAGAGCCCTGCTGGATCAGGCCAAAGGCCTAACTTGTCCAGCATCCTGTTCTCAGAGTGGCCAACAGGATGCCCATATGGGGAAACCCACAAGCAGGACCTGAGCACAACAGCAGCTCTCCCTCCTGTGGCTTCCAGCAACTGATGTTCAGAAGCACTGCTGCCTCCAGCTGGGGAGGCAGAGCATAGCCATCAAGAGCCACATCCTCCTCCACAAATATGTCTCATCCTCTTTTAAAGACATCCAAGTTGTGTTGACCATCTCTGCCTCCTGTGGGTGGGAGTTCCATAGGTTAAATCTGTACTGTGTGAAGAAGCCCTTTCTTTTATCTGTCCTGAATCTTCCAACATGCAGCTTCATTTTTGTGTGTCAGGAACTTCTTCTTTTTTGCCAACTTTTTGCTTTGTCCCACCAAAGTTTTTAATGCCAGACATTGTGTCAGTTGCAAATCTGACAACTCCGGGAGTTGTTGAGCTGTCACTGGAAACATGAAATGTGTGGTTTGCTTTGTTTTTGTATCGCCA